TTTAAATACTCTAATTTACTGCATAATGATTTATTTACACCTATTTGATATTCAATAATTGCGACTTAATATTTAAGTGCAAATTTTCATCGATGATTATATTAAAAGTAGTTCTATATTGGTATGTACAGTATTAAAGAAGATATTGTGCTATATTTACCATTGCATATTAAAAGGAAAATTGCTTCAATATTTAGAAATAAATTTATTTTTGGCAAACTTCAGTTTGTAGGTAGTTTGTAGTCTGAATTAGTAGATACATTTAAGATATATTATATTTTACACAATTAATTTGTGATGCAACCAAAAAGAAAAAAAAACTTCTTGAATATTACATAATTAATAATTAATTAATTCAATGACTAGTTCCAATCCTTTTCTAATTTTAATAAATTATTTATTATTTCCTAAATTATAGGATATATTTTATTATTTTTAGATTAATAGTTTTGCTGATCATATAAAATTTCTACAAAAAGGATAAAACATACTTAACATCTCAGATATATTTTGCTAGATATAGATATAGATATAGATAGATATAGATTGCTCAAAGTTCTAGCTATGTAATTACTAAAAAACTTAATTCTAAATTTATATTACCTAAAAAATTAAAAAATTAATTAATAGAATTTATAATTTGTCTAAATTTGCATTCAAAATATTAAATATATATGCATTTATGATTCCAAAACTTATAATGAATAATAAATGGTTATATTCTCATGTAGATTTGTTATATATAAAAATCAGTATAAAATTAATAATTATAATAAAATATTTATTTTGAAACAATCCAAATTTCAGCTGGTATTGAAAAAATAAAAGTTTACTAAAAGTTTCAATTTTATTCATACTTTATTGTATAATATTTCAATATTTATTTTTATTTTTTCAACGTTTTATGAATGCAAAATAGGTGATTTAAATTATGTCTGTGATTATAACATACAATTATATTCATTAAAAAACTTCACGATAATTTGTCTCAAATATATTTTCTAATACAGTAATTTTTATCATATTCTAACAAATAATAATTCACTTTATTTTATTTATCTAATATTCCATTTATTAAAAGAATAAAAATTATATTCTATTAAGTTTATTATTGTAATTATCATCATAAAATAAATGTCAATTTATGTTGTACTTTTAATTTTCTACTTTGATAGAAGCTATCTATATAAATATATTTTTGATTAACTTAATATTAAAATAAAAATTATCTGTTAAATCAGTATAATAGAAATAATGAAAAATTTAAAATATGATGAAATACATAGCAATAACATATTCAAGTTCACGGCACTCTTTATAAATACTTAATTTCTGATGGTTCAGAAGTTGCATAGCAAAGAAAAAGGAAGAAGGGAGAGTAATAGACGTAAACAAATATTATGTATTTAATTATGATTTATGTATATAATATTTGAAGACAAACATATGGGCATAATGATAGGCAAAGAAAAGAAATTAACGGATAATGCATGAGTAATTGAGCTAGAGTTATTTACAGTGCTTAAAAATAATTAAAATGCGTTTACAAAGTCAAGAATTTCAAAATTATCTAACATCCTTCATTACATACAGTTGATAATATGTGTATACATAATTAAGATTACAGTTAGTAAAACTAGGCAATTAAACATCTTAGAAGCTGAATAATGAACTGATCGATCATTCGATTAATATTCTTATGAGAAATGAGGTTATCACTCAAAAGTTATTTATTTACCTAACGGTAATACTTTTGAAATATTATCTATTTATTTATTAAAACAATAACTGAACAGTTCATAAAAAAATAGAAAGTTCTTCATATAAAAGTAATCTAATTAATAAGCACGAAAACATAATAAGTAAAAGGAAAGTGAAATTTATAAGATAATTTTTAAATAATTAAAATTTTTTAAATAAATACAACTTTTTGGATATTTAGGTGGACACTTATATTGAAGTTTCACTTGCATATTACACTGAAAAATTAATCCAATTAATTCTACAGTTCAGCATATTAAATATTGCTACAGGCTTTTGAGATTGAGCAATTTATGTTATGTACATATATGTTATAAAAGAAGAGTAATATGTATGAAGATGAATAAATAGTATTACTTAGAAAAGTTTATCGAATTATATTTAAATTGACACTTTTTCATTTGCATTGTATACATTAAGAATATAACAAATTAACATTTTTATGATAATATTTTGAATATATAATAATCTATATGTAAGTTTCTGTTGGATTTAAATATTAAAATAATGGAATTTATTACTTTCCTTGATTTATTTGTAGAGTATTCATTATAAATCACAATATATTATTTTCACTCTTCTTTTTTCCCGTATTTCCCCAAAGTATACATACATGAAAAAAATATAAAGTATATTATTAATAATCAACTTGTTATTGCTTTGTTTCTTCTATTTCTTCTCCTTTATCACTTTAATCCTCTCGCGTGTATTTTTGACACCGATGTTCTAATTGGATTGAGGAATTGATTGAACCAAATATGATACATATAGTCAAATACCTGATGAGGCAAAATGAAGGTAAATGTACTAAAAATCCTAAGATCGATTAGTCAAAATCCCGTTATTCCTATTCATCCGTAACATTTTTACTTCAACTCGTATGCGGCCACGCTGAATATCGATGACGTAACAATATTATCGGGCGTTGAGAAGAGTTTGACTCTCTCTTCATTCTTTATACTTCTCTCTTTAATATACTAAATACATCTATTTCTTTCATAATTTTAGCACATTTTCTTCATATACATTCCTTTATATTCTTGTACGTTAAATTAATTGAACAAAAAAGACAATTACCCTTGTTTTAATACACATTTCATTACATTGTTTAAATTTATTGACATTATAGGCATTATTCAATTTATAGATTATTCAAATTATTATTCAGAATACATTATTCAAATTATAGATATTATAATTAAAAGACATTATTCAATTACCTGCAGTTATATAATTTTAAATGTTGAAACAATTTCTAGGTGTACCAACGTTATATCAATTATTTTACTAAGATGTAATTCAAAATAAACATTGTTATATAAATACGTAAATCTGAATTAGAAGATTTAATGATTTGATTAAAAGTTTTTAATAATTTGGTAAAACATAATTGATTGATAATCGATTTAATTTAATCAGCCTCAACATTGATACGTTATATCTTTTCACATTCATTGTTTTGGCACGCTTAGATATTGTTTATCAATATGTTTAATTTTTAATATTAACGTAATCTACAGTTTTAAATAAAATAATTCGAAGTCTAAAAACACATTATGTTTAAAAAGAACTTAAATTTTTTATATTAATAGTAAATTTGTCATAAATAAGCAAAATTTATTTGATACATCATTAAAACAAAGTATTGATTTAATTAAAATAGTAGATAATCTTTATACACAATATCTTATTAGTTAGATATAGACTACTTTTCTTCAACAAATTCCTGTTTAAATATTATTTAGAAAAATGTCTATAAATATATGGAAAAATAATTAAAGATTTATTAAAATATTCTATGAATAATATAATTTTTATCAGAAAATATTTCAATAATTTTATTTAATCAATAAAATTAAATATAAAAAAGATAAAATATTTATAATTTTGAGAAATTTATCTAAAGACTAAAATTCAAAAGAAAAAAGTAAAAATGGGTTTGTTATTCTATAATTTCAGAGTTAATAATTTTGTAATATTTTTACATGAAAAACTTTTTCATGCAATGATCAATTTTGACATAAATTAATATTTATTAAACTCATAAAAATATTAAAATAAAATAAAGATAAAAATTAAATTTTAGTAAATTTTAATAAACAGCAAAGAACTACATTAATGTCGTAAATATTCGACAAAAACTTATCTGTCATAAAACGATAGTTGTAAAAATTTAACTTACAAGTATCATTAAAATTATTGTATGGAATATATACTTTTAAGTTGAAAATAAAAAAAATTACATATCTACTATAATAATCTAACAGCTAGTCTAATAATAATAAGATGGCATAAAGAAGCGTAAGAGTTATAGAGTTAAAACTAGAAAATAAATAAAGATAATAAATCGATAGATTATAAAGAGTGAAAATGAAGCCAATATCTGTTGGTATTCATAATAATGTAAGAATATGGAATAAAATCGATTTCGTTCTTTTGTATGTTAAAGATGAGTTGAATCATATTTTAAATATATTGTACAAATGGCTTTTTACATAAAAATGTGAAAATAATCAAAACTCAAAAGTGCAACATTGGTAATAATAAAAGATGGCAGAGTATATAGAAAAAATAGTGGTAAAACTAAGTCGCGAGAGAATTAAAGAATAAGGATGGTGAGAGATAGAGATAAATAAAGAAAGACTGAGAGAAGGAGATAATAGTGAAAAAATGAGGCGGATGAAAAGGAGCCTGAAATAATGAGGCCGAAAACGAGTAAGAAAAAATTAGAAAAAATAAGAGCGTGCGCGTGAGATCTAGCAGACGACAACGAAGCAAAAAAAACGGTTCAAATTCTCTTTTTGCTTTCAATCTTCTTTCCCCTGTTAGTATCTCGTTCTTCGTCCCCCCTCTCTTTCTGACTGATACTTATTCTCTATTTCTACGTGTTCTTCATTCAATTCTTACATTTATTCTAACTTTATCTCTTCTTCTCATTCTCTTTTTCCGAGGGTGCAACTTAATTGAACTTTTATTTTCTGTGCTATGTATGCTTGCTAGGTTGTTCTTTGGCAAAATTATTGAATCAGAGAGACAGAGCAAATAAGAGAGAGAGAGAGAGAGAGAGAGAGAATCAGGAGATTTGCGAAGATACAGAGGCTAATGAGAGCTTAAAGAGCTCCAAATAACAGAAAGTGGGGGGAAATCTAGCATTCATGCTCTGCAATGTGGAATCATAAGACTCGTAGCACGAAAATCTTCAGAGGCAGAGAGTAAAGAGTACTGGAGGTGCAACTCACTTGCCGTCTAGGGATCGCCGGGGATGGGCGCCGGCTCACCACTTCCGGCGCCCTCAGCGTGGGTTCGGTTCGGAACGACGGAGCGCCCTCGTCTCCTTGGCAGCCTCCTTGCGGCGTCCGCCGTCCGCCATCTTGGATTATGAATAGCCCGTAGTGGCAAGGGCCACGATGGGACCCGGCCCAAGGTCGCAGTCCTTTCTGATTCCTGAGGGCGGCGCGGCAGCCGTGCAGAAAGACGATGATGTGGAGAACGAGGCCGTCGGAATACTTAACTAGCGATGCCAAAGAATCACGAATATTTTCTGGGCGCCCCCTTCGCGCGAGCTAACTGCACTAACGATGCACCAACGGCTGCAGCGGCAATAAGAACAGCGTCAGAATTGCCCCGGGAGGGGCGTATCGCACAGGCGCGCTTACAAACTTTTCTCCCTTGTTCTCTCTTCCTGAACTGTCGCTAGGATGGAGGAGTGGCCAGTCGATGCGACTGCGTCGCGACAGTGGTCCGTCACCCTGGCTGGATGGGTCCAGGTCCAGGATCTTCGAGCCACAGATCGGGGCACGAGGTCTTCTGGAGAAAATCATTCTTTCAGTACGTATTTCAAGAAAAGCTCTTTCACCGCTTTCACTTACTTGAAAGCCGATTAGGCCTACATCTTATTCTGTCCAATTAATGCAATCACTGTTTAATGTTATAAAACCCTATATGCCAGACAAGTCTATATTTCTATTTATTTTTATTCTAATTTAAAAAAAGTCTCAAATACTAAATAAACTTTGATGCGACATTTTTTCTTTGAATTTCATAGAAAATATAAAGAAACCTGAAAAAATAATTATAATTGTAAAACCATAATAATAGTTAAATCTTTAACTTAGCCATAAATAGAAATGTACTTTTTAAAACAATATGTGTTCAAGAAGATCTCTGCAATCATTTTATAATATTTAATTATATTTCAGTACTGAACTTACAATTTTTTTCCTATTTGTACAGATTTGTACAGACCAAAATAATGAAAGTTATAAGATCTGTACTCCATATTATTCTGTATTATTTTAATATACTATAATTTCAATTATCCGTATTATTTTAATATAATTGAGCAATATTCTTATGTTGAATTACGTTATATTAATTCCGATGAATTTGTGGATTTGACAACATAATCCAAATTTGCTTATTACTTTTACTTAATTTATTATATTCAACTATTTGTATTAAAATTTATTATCAAAGTATATTGGTTAGATTCAATAAATATTATTCAAATAACAATTATAAATCTATATATAAAACGAAAAACTTTATATGTTAATATTTTTTAGTTACTTTTAGTAATATTTTTTATTTACATTTTTATACCTAAAATGTGATTATGTTTTTTAATGTCAACATATTCAATAATCTAAAAATGTGATTTATGCAAGATTAGCGCTGTTTAATGTATATAGATTGAATATGTAAATTTTATTAATTTAAAAATTAAAAGAATTATATTATATTTTCATTTAAAAAGGACTATATGATATTTTATACGAAAATTGCTGGAAAAAGCTTCTTTTAATATGAAAACTCTGAAGATCAAGTATATTTTTTAATTAAAAATGTATTTTTTCGACAAAATATTAATTAGGAGGAAAATGAAAAAGAAATATAACTTAAAAAAATATGAATTATAATATTGCCATCATTAAAATTTAAAAATACTAAATTACATGATAATATATTTATAACCTGTATACTAATGATGGTGACATTTTTTTTAAGTTCGTATCATTTTATTTTCAGATAGGAAAGGTATATATTTACTTTAATTAAGTAATAATACTAAAATTATATTTATACTTTAATTGGTTTCCTATTTTATCCACAAGTATTGCGTTTCTTAAACTATAAAATAATTTCATATAAGCATTTATTTTATTTATTTTTCTATTTTTCATACTTACACATTATATAGAAAGATGTATAATTTATTTATAATTATTTATCTAGAAACTTTATGTCTTATCAAAATTTACTTCTATTATTTGATTACATTAAAAATAACTAATGGTGTATGATAATGTTTAACAACTGAAGAAGAATATGAATACTGAAGAATATTAAATACTACATACATGCATTTATAATATATACAAATTAATATAACTTTATAATAACATGAAATATATGTTTATTTTATTGTCTGTCTCATTATAGACTCTATAATTAATTAAATTTAATATAGAAATAATTTATCAACTAAGATGACAACTAAAGCTTGCTGCAAAAACTTAATTAATTAATATATTTCTTAAATTATAATCGGTACGTAATTGAACATTCAAAATTATAAAACGCTATTATGATTTCTATGAAATTATTTTCTATAATTCAATTGATGATAAGAGATCGATTTAAATATACAATAAGAAGAAAAATATTTATTTGTTCCTTATTTATACAACCGATGAACAAATAATTAATAATGGACAACTTTAAAATTTAATTTAAAAAATCCCATAAATACAACTTATATAACGTATAAAACAAACTAAAAATATTCATTTATATTTATTTATAATATAACATTAATTTTAAACAAAAATTTGTACGAACTATCTTAAATTAGATACATTTATAAATTACTTTTTACATAAGTAATTTTAATTATTTATTATCAATATAATTCGAATATAAGAGAATTTTATACAATAAATTAAATTATATAAAATAATGCGTAATAAAATAGATTAAATTTTGAATATTCATTTATTCATTGCATGAAACATTTTTATGGATTATATTAATTAATCGAAATACAATAGTTCAAGAAGTAAATGATTCACGAAATTTTTTTCTAATATAGTACTTCTTATTAATGTATTCTACTTGTAGTTGAAATTATATAGACAATACAAAGATTAAATATACAGTTTACTATTCATAAATTTCTATTATATTAACATAATATTTAATCAATAAAATTACTTTTTAAGCAATTATAAATTTTTAAAATAATAAATATTATATAGTAATAAATTACAAATATTAAAATATTTTTTTTATTATTAAATTTAATTTAAAAGAACAGTATAAATTAAAAAAAAATTTTCCGAACATAAGAAGCATTTTTGGTTTATTTAAATTGAATTTGAAAATCAATATATCGATCAATATTTACATTGAATATAATACTTACTGTTAAAAATTCTATATACCCGAAAGTTGGTAAATAATTTACAGAATTTATCAAAATGTATGAAGCAATTAAAATTTATTCAATTTCAATAATATGCAATTATTATTTCATGTGAAATAGCGATCTTATCCAATAATCATTCATTATTATTTTTATATTTATTGCATATTGAATTTAAGTTATATTTAAGTATGTACTGTTTATGTATAGTACTACAGTCAAAATTTTGACTGAAAAAAATATTTTCTATTTGAATAAACTTAGTTTACTTTAAAGTCTTTAAAGGGTAACTTTAATTTAAAAAAAAATAGATTTTTTGATTTTTTTCTGATGAATTTTTACTTATACAAGAAGTGGTTATATTTTTAAAATGAAAGGAACAAATTAATCATGTAAATCATATGTAATTTTTAAAAAATATATGGTAATGATGCATAGATCCATTGACAAAATTTTAATAAAAAAATTAATTCATGAATAACTTATAATCATTATGAGTATAACTTATGCACCATTCATTTATTTAAATTCATCATTATTGCTTAAAAGAAGTAATAATAAAACAAGAAAACTGGTAACACAGTAATAGCTATTGATTAATTTTAGAAATACTATATGTATTTTATATGTAACTACAATAAGGTTTATAATTACATCCTTATTGTTTTCTGACATCTGTTTTTTATTAACCTATGTATTGATAGGTATATTTATTCATTAAGTTTTCTTTGCAGATAATATTCTTTCTCCTTTAGTATATCTAGTCGCGCCAATGCTTGTATTACGTGGAGTGTTACCAAAGAATTTACATTTTAAGTTTGTTATAAATCGAGTATTTAAATGACCTACTAACATCGAAATGTTCGCCCGACAGTTGTATGGCTGCATGCATAATGTTGATTGCGGGATAAAAAAAAATGATAATTTACTTAATAAGTTTAAAAGAAAATATAATATAAATAAAAATGTTGTATTACTCGGTAATAAATAATTACTTAAATAATTAAATAACAAAATTATTAGGATTTATACTTAATGAAATTGTAATAGATTTGGATTTAAAATATATTCTTAGTATATTTTGTTTTTTTACAATATATATATATATATATATATATATATATATATATAATAACTATCATTTATTACTATATATTATCTATACTGTATCTACATATATTAAATTTGTTTCATAATTTCATCGACTGTGAATTGAAAAAATAATAAATAATTTATTTAATATAAACATTTATATGATAAAATATAACGTTAATCTTAAATTTTTTTTATTTGCAAAAAAGGACTTCAAAAATATAATACAATTTTATTAAATATAAAGTCTAATCATTTTTAATGTACCGAATAACATCAACAATAGTGATTATTAAATGCTTGTAGTAATTAATTGATTTAAAATCCTTATTTAAGTTCATGAAAGCAGTGTCTATTTTAAAAGAATTACTCATTCATTACATCAAATTTCAACAAAAATTTATCCAATGAACTACTGTTGTTATGAGATCGTAAAATATTTTATAATTGTATAACAAATATTATACGCAATCATTATTATATTGTAACAATAAAACTAATTGTACATAAATGAAGTATTTTTATAAATGTGTTGTATAATGATACTCATTGATATACTAATTTAGTTTATTAAATTATTTTATAGCAAGCATTTTATGTATTTTGTTATTATTTAACTGCATTTATAAGTTATATATAAATAAATAAGTCTTCTTTTTAAGATTATCACGAATTTTTATTAGAATCTAATATTAGTTAGTATAATGTAAAATATTGTTTATAATAAAGAAAATTATATTAACAGTTATGTTCGTTTATATAATTATAAATTGATGATTTGTATGAATAGACGTTTAGAATAATTGTAAATTTTATTTAATTACAGAAATGTTTTATAAAAATTTATTTTAAAGGCTTTTACTATTTTTTTGTTTTCTTCATTCAATAAAATGAAATTGGTAGATTTTTTACGTGGAATATATTTTACATATTTTAAATACTGGTATTGATTATGTTTTTTAAATTTTTCATGCATTTAATTTAAAATTTTTAAAAATTTGAGAACACTGTTGCGTGTATGTAAGCCACATATTTTGTTAGTATGTTAAATATATGAAATTATACAAATTAATTAAAAATGTATTGTTCAGTTCTTATTACTACATTAATAACACTTTAAACTCATTATGTACATTGATAATGGATATATTAATGACAAATTATTTCAAAATATTTTTACTTATTATTTTATCTAAGGATAAAAGAGCCAAGAGGAAGAGTATGACAAGAAAATGAATGTCAAAGCATCTGAAATCACTAGGTCGTCTCTTGTAGTTGGCCGCACTGACAACGAAGATGGCAAGGTGCCGTGATAGTATTTTTTACTTTTTTTAACTTC